TGTATGTACATGCATATGCTCTCTGCGGTTAATTTCAACCCATGGGTTGTTTCTTAAGATAAGCGTGTCATCCGTGTAGTCACCAAGATGCGTTGAATACCATCAATGTAATTTGGAAACGTCACACGTAACCACTCTAAGCGTTCGTCTGAAACCTCGACATATGGGCCGATACTACTGTCAAAGGAACGACGTAACGGATGTAATAAATCCTATTAAAAATATTATGTACATACTTGAAAGAAATAATACATGTGTTTCATAAACATTGTAGTTGCATCAACTCTTTTAAAACGACAATTCTCACTTTCCTTTATACAGGGTGACTGCGAAATAAGTGCAAATATTTTAACCACGGCATCCCCCACCCTAGTAGAGCCGAAATATAGAAAAAACAAATTAAAAATCGAATGGGGCAAAACCCCCATGAACCACCCTCGATACGAAGGCACTGAGCCACCTTGTAAACAGAGTTGGAAAAACGTTCGAATAAAAACGACCTAAACACTTTCAGTTTCAATTAAAAGTAAAACCGACTTTTTGCTGCTTATCATTCGTTCATTCATTTACTCATTCATCGTTAAAGGTCAATGTGAAAGTTTTTTGGTAATTTTGGTTCTGACGGATGTTTGGTCCTTGTCACAACGATTTTACATTGTTTATTGGAACAGAAATAAGAGCAAATTAGAATGCTACTACCTTTTTACAAGAAATGTTAAAAATGTTGTCCTTGATTAGCAATGCAGGCGTCAGAGCATCGCAAGAGGTTTGTTGATAGGTAAAAAAGCACCGGAGTAGCGGCTGCCACTTTCACTTGTTGAAGCTCTTCGATAATTTCTGGACACTGTTGATTTCCACAAACGAATTGTTTCATCCAACCAATACACGTTTCTCGAAAACCGTCTCTTGAAATCGTACTTGTTGACGACTATGTGGAGTTCCATCGGACAAAAAGTGAGTTACACAACGTGGACAATCAGCGAGCTCCAAACCGTGCACTTTGTCAACATGGTATGGATGTGACCGTGTTATTTTAATGTTGGATGCACTACAAGCTGCGAAAATCCAATTTCTTCTTTCTGTCCCATCACGACCACGATCGTGAGTTTGAGGTTGAAGGTACCATGATCCCGGAGATGCTGTACCACCATATCGACACACTCTGCATTGGAAAACTGGACCATACACCGATTTCAACGACCGCTCGATAATGACTGGCCCTTTTCGTGTTTTTCACGTTGCGATTAAAAAAGTGCCTGATAAAGATACTTTTTTGGTTCTTACTCCGAGTCCCCTACCCATTCATTGCAGTAATTATGTAGGTCACGAAACATTACCAGCGGCGCGTATAACAATTTACATTTAATTTCAAATAATTTTTTCTAAACACTGCTACCACTTAGGACCGTGAATTTTTGCCAGTGACATAATCATATTGTGAGCTATTCCCCATTTTTTTTTGCATGTATTTCGCAGTCACCTTGTATAATGAGTAATGACATTCATTTTCTCAAAATTACTAGGGAAAAGGTGTTTTCTTGTCAAAAACCTTATTGGTTTAACAGATAAATTTTTTTGTATGTCATAATTCTTTTTAAGTATGATGATGAAATTACACCCTCACTACAACGCATGTCGTGGTCCAAAAATAGAGTTCATGCATTTTTCACTGCGTGACAAAAATCAAAACTTAAAAAAGTGGTATGTGATTTAAAATAGAATGGTGAATGTAGTTTTTCATTTGTCCTCCAGATAATTTTTTAAAGAGAGCAACGTTTAACGAAATAACGAAAAACTGTCATTCAAAATTCTTAATACTGTTACGAATTAAAGACATACGCCGCCCCGCTACGACGCTTATGTGTTTTCTGGTATGTGCGGCGATGACGGGTGACTCATCGTCGGTGACGACGGCCAGACGGCGTTCGCTAAAGAAAAACTTGGAAGCGGAAGTAGCGATGGGTACTCCAGAACAAGCCTAGAAGCGGTGACGGCGACCTTTCAAGAAGAGCCGCGTGGCTGTTTAAAGGGGACCCATCATCGGGAGCAGTCAGTGAAGTTTAGGCAGTGGGAGAAGTAGAGTCTACTCAAATCCATTCCAGTCGAGTCGGAGTTATTCTGTACAAAATCGTGTAGTTTCGTATTACTGCGAAATAAAATTTGTTGAGTTTTACAAACGGCGATTTTAAATTACAATACAATTAACCCACATTCTATCAGTAGATTTAAGATTTGCATTGTTAATGAATACAAATTTTCGGTCGAGAGAGAAGCGCGGAAAAATAATCGCGTCTCCGGTTGTAATCTGTGTTCGGTCTATAATGATTGTCTTTACTACCGTGGTGTATAATATACTATTAACAAAAAGTAATAAATAATATACCTACATGTGAAAAATACTAAAAAATTACAGGTTGCGAAGGTCAACTAACTACAGGTTAAAGGTGATATAAAGTGTTAATTTTCGATATCTGTATGGTTGAGCGATCTAAGATTTATTTTTAAATTTTAGTGTGTAAAAAATTCTAACTCTAATAAAAAGTGAGCTTATCAAGAGAAAAGTCTTTACAGGGGTGGCGGAATGATTTTTTTTATAATTTGTTTTTAGCCGCAAGTCATTTAATGACTACAGTGTATAATTTGGAAAAAAAACTCGCAATATGTTTTATCCATTGCCGCAGTATAAAATGCAAAATGTCCCTGTAGCATCATTAAATCACCAAAAATCACATCTTTGAAAACGTGAAAATGGTAGAAAATTAAAACAGGATCTACCACTTCACAAGAATGTGCAAAGTTCACACAAACTTCGCAGGAGTGGCGGTGTAAGGATTTTCGTATTAAGTATCCATAAACAACGTAAACAGTATCGTTCTTTCAAGGTGGGTTTTCGGTAGTGGGAAAATATGTTTCGAAAGTTTGTTCAAACCAACAACCTGGCAAATTCTTCATTTCAAGTAAAATAGTGTCTCGCAGTTGGTTCCTAGACTTGTACCGAAGTAATCTGTGGTAAACAGTTTCCGAAACGCTCTTTGGAGTTGTATTGGTGTGGGATTTATTATATAATTCCCAAAATGACTCCTCATGGAGCCAAAAACATTTTGCCAAACAATCCTGATTTAGTTGCAGCAACCTTTTAGTGAAAATTGTAAAGAAATTGTATTCTGTGAAAACTATTAAAAGTAATAAGCAAGATGATTAATTCATTATGTTGTTGTTTATTTTTCTGGGAGTGACTTAAAAATCTTAAGAGTGAATAAAAAATTTCGCAATTCACTTGTGAATAATAATTTATTTCTCAGACTTGGTATGGATTTAATAAACGCATTTTAAAACGTTCAAAACTGAATAAAAAGGTTTACTAATAATTTACAAAAAAGAAAAAAATCGGCAATGTCACTAGTATCGTCCATTTTTATTTCTGTCCACAATTATTAGTATTATACGAATGCTAGGAAATATTTGAATATTCGTATTCCCAGGGTTATTACACCCGTTCCACAAATGTTGCCTCAATTTTGTTACTGCTAGAGGTGGGACGGGTAGTAACTATTCGTTACAAAGTATTCGGTACACGATGAGACCCGAACTACCGAGTATCGAAGTTGAAAAGTAATCGTTACTATTCGTCAATGATTACTGATCATTTCGTGATTTCGAGTATGCATTCTGGATTCAAATACTAAGGAATCAAGAACCGATTGCCGAAATACCGAGAACTACCGACCTCCTAAACCTATAAATCAAATACCCTGTAATCTAGAATCTAGCAACACTGCTGCCATCTTCTTGCCGTTTTTGAAGTACAGTACAGACAACAACCTGCTACAACGGCGATTTTCATTTTTAAAGCGTTATATTTTTGAACGAGTCTTGTTTTATTATTGTTTTCAATATCTGCTTTGATATTTCAGAAGGTATTGTATACAACTACACAATCCGTATCTATCTTAGATCTATGATCTTAAGTAACATAACCTATAATATTTTAGTAATGGATAGTTCAGTGTCTGTCGATGGTTACTTTGTTGATTTAATTGACGACAAGTGGCGTTCCGATAAATTACCACAAGACGACATCACTGTACCAACTTACGAATTGGCTGATCCTGAAGCCGACTCTGGTGACATTCATTTAACTCTTAAAGAGCAGGAACAAAAATGGACTGATATCGCCCTTAGTGCATTAAGTGAACATCAATAATGAGATTGCCAAACTGGGGTCAGCATTGTTCACATAATGACTGTAAGCAGTTAGATTTTTTTACCTCTACAATGTAAATGTGGGAAACTGTTTTATTCGATATGTTTAAATATACATGCTGACGCCTGTGATAGTTGCATCACTTTACAGACAGAACCACAAAAAAATCAGTAATGTTTGATACCTCTCTTATAGAAATGCTGTGTCAAAAATTGCACACACATTTTTGTATGAGACGTTACCGCATCACACAGTGTCATAATGAAAATGTAGAAACTATTGCCCAAGAGAAAGAAAAAATAGCGGCCCCGATTAGATAATTTAATGAAGCTAAGCTAAGGTGGATAAGCAAGTAGAACAGAATTTGTTGGACACAAAAAAAAGGCGAAAAAAAAATTTAACTAATAAAAGGACAGATTATGGAAATTAAAAATAAAGCTAAAGGTCTTAATACAATATCTACTATACGATAGATTGTGTTTCAGTGTTAGTTATCTTCACAATCAACAAGATGTTCCGTTATTTGTGTCAAAACTGGAGTATATGCCATTGCCAATGAATTAAAGTTACAAAATGACAATAATAAAAGCTCTTGTAAGAAATTAAGGTTATTTAAAAAAGAAAGTGGTCTGTCAGAGCAAATCTTGCAGAAATCCTTAATGAACCTATTACTGAGGGTGTAATTAATAATTATAGATAGAGAAAATTTATCGTTATAGAATATGTACCTAAATGACAATTGTCAACTTCTGTCAAGTAATGATTAAATACATATTATGTTGAAACATACTTTGGGCCTTCTTTATCTTGTACTGCAACTCCCAGTGTTGATAGGATACAGTAGTAGATCCAAAAAACATGGATTCTTGTCTTGAGGGTAGTGATAGTGTGAGTTTTTGCGCTGAAATTGGTGCTCGTTCCTATGCTACTTGCTCAACTATTACAGCTGTGTCCAGTCTTTTGAATTCAATATTGTATCAAAACTAACAGAAAATATTCATGCAGAATTTATCTAAGGCCTAAGACAGGAATAAAAAAAAATTCATTAAAAAAAATGAAATTTATACCATGTAAAGAACTTAAAAATTCCTGTGCTAACTGTCAAGATACCACATACAGTACTTTTTCGGTCCATAGCTGAAAATATTTAAATTAAATTACTTGCCTAGTAAGTCATTTTCAGTAATAAAGTTAACTAACATCTGATAAACTAGCCCTAAATGAAACAGAAAAAAATCTTTCCAACGTCCACGGATCATAATCTGCTACCACTGCTGAGAATTGCCGAACACTACCTTTTTCGTCGTTAAGACTTCTCGTACCTGCTATTATTGAAGTTAAATTTTATTAATACCGGAAACCACTAATTGCACTCACGCTTCTTCCCCTAACTCCGGATTTTAAAGCTCTGTCATCAAACCTTACTGACCCCTGTAAATTTAGATCCTATATAAGACTTTGTGTCTCTAACTGACTGGACTGGAGAACTGGAAACACTTTCATATGATGATATCTTATGGGCTGTCGACGATGTAACAGATTCTTTAATATTCGTTTCTGGATTAATTTCAGTTGTCCCCAATGTAACAGTTTTTGCATCTATCTTAAAAACTGTAGATTGTTTAGATGATGCAGGCACTTCTGCGCTTTGTTCCGCAGGGGAGCCTGTGGATGGCCTAGGAGATGAGACTCCATTTTCAGCGTGTACTTTCGAGTTCCTTTGCTCCGCATTTGTTTCCTAAGTATTCAAAACGCCATCGAAATTTTTGGTAGCAGACATTGTAAATCGCATGCAAAAAAACCTAAATCAATAATTCGCGATATTGAATTCGAAAAAAAAATGACATCTCCTGTTATGACGACGGGTGGTATCCAAGTATAACTTATTCGCGGTCGTCATGTTATAGTGGGAAAATGGCTGACTCCCTTCAAAACTGTATGAGATTTCAAAATACAGCTAAAAAACATCTAACTTCCACAGGAAAATCTCATCGTTTCATTCCAAGTATACCCCAAGAGTTTGATTGCGTAATTTATAATTGTCATTACAACGTATATTCCAATAATTAAATTTAGATATTTTTCAGAGAGTTAAAACACATATTAAACCTGAATCTCTACAGAAGGATCTAACTATTAAAGATGAAGAGTTTAAAACGGTGTATTTTGAGGAGTATCCCAGAAAAATCATTGTGCCTGAACAGGGGTACAGACCACCGCAGTACGATTACCTACAATATTTACGAAATGTGGAAGAGCAGGTATTCATCTACATATAATAGATGCGATAATAATTACGGAGGAGTTTTTAAACATACATATATGTGTACATTTTTTGGTAACAATCCTAGAACAGGTGTTGTTACGATTTGTACGCTGCTGTTTTCATTTGCCGTGTTTTTGTGGAGTTTAAAGAGTTTTCTTCATGAATATTGTAACTAGATGCTGAGCCATTCTGGATACCATTAAATCACGATTCTCAAACATTAGGTGGAAAAACGAGTGTTTTTTTTACTTCCCGAGCGTAAGCAAAGGAAGTATTGTAATCCAGTCCATCGACCGACTCTCTACTTTTACATTTTCTCAACCTTTCATTACCCTAGAGTACGAAGAAATAGTTCTCCCGTTTTCGTCGGTCTGTCTATCTGTTTGTCTGTTTCTATAATTTGTTGAAGTTTGAGCGACAGTCACGCAATGGAAAAGGGAAAATTGACTTCTATGTTTAGAGTTGCATACACCATTCGAAGGTGATTATTTTGAAAAATATATCTTCGAAATAGACCTTTTGTCCCTAGTTGCATTCAACTTCAGTCAAGAAAATTTTAAAGCGCTGACTGTGGTTGTTGTCTGGGTTGTTGTCTCAGCAAATCACACACCAGATTATCAAAATTGCTTCTAAATTACACTTTTAATGAACTGTGTGATTTTTGTTTCAGTTACTCGTTAATCCCCCAGCTCCAATAGCATTCCAACTTTCAGAAATGAAAGATTCGTTTAGAATGAATTATCGGACACCTAAATTCGACGAATGTAAAGCACCCTGTGAACTGGCCAGATGTTATGTAAGATTATTTTATTTTGCGTTGACTATTAGCATTTTTTAATTTAATTTTGCTAGTTTATAAGACTTACTAAAGCTGCTTTACTTCTTCGTTTTTTAATAGATTACTAAACTAGGTGTTGAACAACAACCTGCTATTCCACCCCATGGTAAAGGTTTTTGGAAATGGACAGATCCATATTTAACAGTCTCCAAGTCTACACATATACCTTTCCCCCTAGTCAACGACAAGTTAAATGAAAAAATTATCACCCTCTATAACGTAATATTATATACTCTACGATTTTGTTAAGTCCCTCTGATTTATTTATTATTTTTTTTAGGAATCTGAATTTGATTTACCTCCTCCTTCTGGAAATAAAACGATGTTTGACAAGTGTACATTTAAAAATATGTTGCCGGTTAGACTACTTGCGAGATCTGTGAAACGTGTACCTCATTTGTAAGTATGATTGTCGATCGAGATTACTGTTTTGCCTTTTGTTAAAGAGGTAAACATATAAAAGTAATTTTTTCACTAGCAGCCACGACGCATGCAAATGTCGACTCATTTAGAGGTAGCAAATTCAACTTTTGCGACCACCGGTTCAAAAAGAAAAATTGAGGTTATGTACGCAATGTTTGATGTGATTATTTCTTAAAAAATGAACAAATGTGTGCTAGAAACATTACTTGAGTATACCCATGGTAGTTGGTAGACGGTAGAAGATAAAATGATTAACTCAGCGACAAGTATAAACGGTTTTCTTTGTGTTGAAGATTTAGATCAAGTTTGATTAAAAATCAAAACAAAATCATGTTGCGTCAAAAAATTGAACGTTTATTTTTTCAGTTTATTGTCTTATGGTTTCTACTAGTGAAAAAAATAGTATATTAACCACGGTTGCAAAGCCCCTCCTAGACCTCGCGCTTCAGAGCCCTCGACGCTGCGCGTCTCGGGTTCTAATTTGCGCTCGGTCTAGAATGCTTGGCTCTGCAACCTTGGCTAATAATATAATATTTACATTCCTGAAATACATCTAAAATAAAATCATTAACTGAGTACAGATGGAAACGTAGGATTTACTTTTTCATTCTTTCTTATGAAACGCCGAGAAGCTATGAAATTAGCTATTCATCAAATGAACCCGACTATTACGATACTTTCGCAGCTTATTCCTTTCGAGAAATAAAAATTAGGCCATGAAATTTATTAAAAAAAAAATTATGTTGGCATTACAACTATTTCACTGATTTAACTGCTAAACGGAACAAGGAAAAGGTTGGTGTTTTTTTAACATTAAATTTCAAAGGTTGCTAGACGACTTTGCTATTTAACCATTTGGTATTAAGCGAGGAATCAGTTTATATTACCTACTTAAAAAAATCGCAGACAGTATTGTTGCATTTATAAGAAAATATATATTATTGATTTAAAGCCTCTAATGTAGAAGATGAAATGAGATAAACTGTACAATTACATGAACATTAATAGCAGGGGCGGTAGGATCGGCCACGCCGTACCAGTCATTTTAAAATACTTAGTAAGCGTTGAAATTAGAAAATAAAAATAGAAATATAAGTTTGAATGTACGTTTAGTATAGAACATATATATTAAAAAATATATTTTATATTATAGGTACAAAATAAAGCATTTGTTGCTAATTTTAACCGCTAATAGACACGCTTTGCCGGCGAGATTTCGGCTAGCCGTATCCAGGAATGCATAATGCTCTATGTTACGACCTAGTAGCAGCTTACGGTTTCATTGTTCGCTTTGTCTACTACACTGTTTACGAGCGGAACGTATGTTGCGCCAGGTCCGGCGAGATCCTCCTTCGCCGTATCCAGAAATGCGAATTTAGTTTTTAAAACGATTTTTAAGATAGGTAACAAAATTACACAACAATAACGGCTTCGATGTTCTCCAGTGCTTACTATTTTTTTTATAATAATTGTTGATTTAATACATCTTCCTGTGTATGAGTAATAAACGAAAAAAAAAAACCATTAAATTATCTAAAATTTTATTGTTCGTACATAACTTTGCTAAAATATAAATGCGTTTTTTCTGGATTTTTAGCATCTAAGCGTTTTCAGATATTTCAGAAATGAATTTAATGCTTTAAATCATTTTAATTTTAATTCGATAATTATTCAATTAATTTATTTGACAATTTGCCATATACATTTAAAAAAAAATGTAAATGAAAATAGTTAACAGTTGGTACTTTTATTATTACTTTTTTTATATTTTTTAACTGCATGTCATTATTTAATTATTATTATTTAATTGTGGATGTCCGGTCGACGCGGAACCCAGTAAGAATATTTTTTTCGGTGGTTTTCAATTAATGATAAGGCAGAATAAGTAGAACTAAGGATTAATAGTGTTTGGAATCAAACTGACATTGTCAATTTCCTATAAAAAAATTATTTTAACAAGTCGAGGTCGAAACATTCGAGATGTTTCTGTACATCCTGGCACGTAAAATGTCAGTGGTTAACGAGTAGCGGCCATACATTACAAAAATATATAACACAAAAGTGAAGACTCAAAATATTTGGCCGACCTGAAATTTGGACCCACCAGCCGCCACTGATTAATAGTATAAAATGATGGAGGCTAAAATATCAAATAAAGAAACGTTGATCATTGTTAAGCAAACTATTAAAGTTATTTTTTACAGTGGTATGCATTCGGAATATCAGGATCATTACGTGAAACAAACATTTTCATATTTACATCCATATTTGGAAGATCGCTGCACTGAATTTGAAGATTCGCTGCCTGAAGCAAATCGATGGCAAAATTTATCACCACCGGGAATGTATTGCACCGAATATTGTAATATTGGAGGTCCCTCTGTTAGATGCACAGTGGATATAGAAAGAATCAAGAAAAAAGCACGTGTTGATTCTGAAAACTGTTGTCGCATCTAATGCTCTAATTTTCAGCAAATAAAGAATTCTATTTCTAAATAATGAGAGTTTTTTGGGAGTTCTAACATTTGACAGGCTAAATCACACTGGAGTATGTTATTTAAAAAAATTATATTTTTGTGTAATAATAAAAATAACAGTATTGTATTCCCAAAATTTTCTGGGAAAGTAGAGTGAGCCTTTTCTGATTTAATCAATAAAATAAATTAATTAACCCATACGTTAATTTTTATGAGTCACCTATTTAAGCATATCTAAAAAATATGAATGCATTAATAAATCACAAGTAAAAACCCATCATATTTTGTATATTTTGGGTAGAATTTATTCGGCAAAATTTTGATATAACGTCATCAATTTTTGTGGAGAACAAATGGATATTTTTTGATTAACAATTTATCATGCTTACAATAACTTTAAAAGGTCTGCAAGATTTCAAAGTATTCAGTTTTGCAATTCTTGATTTACTCAATCTAATAAATTGACTCCTTAGTCATAATTTTTTTTGGAATACCTTGTACATATAAGCAATTTAAAAAAAAATATTAATGCAGTGATAAATCACAAGTATAGACTCATCACATTTTGGACATTTAAGATAGGATTTATTCAGCAATATTTTGAGGTGACGTCATTATTTTTTTAGGGGGATGAGCAAATACATTTTGACCAACAATTTACCATGCTTATGATAACTTTAAAACATCTCCAATATTTCAATGCAGCCGGCAAATATCCAATTTGTGCGTGGCCAAATGAGGCACTTCTCATGGTCAGCAAAGTACTTCATCACTAGACAGCGGATTTCTGTCGGGCTACGTCACGATTATAGGCGGGGACGCGCTGCATCGCCGGGACTCAGTAGCGGGTGATAGGTAATCACTGAATTTAATTGTCACTTGATTCCATAAATACAATAGGGTATTCCACGATTTTTTTTTTAATGCACTATACGAAAGAATATCGTCTACAAAATGCGAAGATGCGGTCAATATTTTTTTTACTTTTCAATAACTCAAAAAAAAAAAAGTTAAATTTAAAGTGATTTTTTCCCGCGGTTAAGTTGTGCATTACGTACGTCATGATGACGTACGTAACGCTGACCAATGGGATCAGCGTAGCGATGTGGCAACTCCGCTCACGCTGCTTTAAAGTTAGACGACATCGGTATTTAGCCATCTTGAATTCTTGTTGGGTTATGATAGGTTAGGTTTATTTATGTTTGGTCGATCTTAGTGTTAACGTTTTTTAATTTGCTCTCATTGAAGCTTAAAATAATTTAAAAAGTTAGTCGTTTCCATTATTTGACATTGTTTGTTTAAAGACGGTGAGTAGAATTGGCCGTTTAATATTTACCACTTACCAAAACCTTTTACAGCGACTTACAACTTAAAATTGTGTAGGAAGATTATCTGGGAAAATACGGCACAGAATAAATAGTCACAATGGAAAGTGAATATGAGCAAGCTACTTCTACCAATCTCCCTGTAGTTGATGATGTAATGATAGATTTGTATTATCGAAGAAATGTGAATTTTCTGATACCAGGTGTTGAAAATGTGAAAACCGAACGGTAAAGTGTACAACGTAATAATGGTTTGATAGTAATTATTCATTGTTATAGTGGAGCTCGTGCAACTTACGGCGACGATGCTGTTGGTTATGTGCAGTTGAGACGACACGATGAGATTTGTACTGTCAAAGCTTTGATTGCACCAGAACATAAAGTTCGCCTAAAAGGCTATGAAGTTTCAGTAACAATAAATGAGTCTGAACAATGCATAATTGACTCAAAGTGTTATGACTGTGCTGCAAGTGAAGGTATGCATGATTTTATGTTGTATTAGTGTATGTATTACGTCTACTTTTCAGGTGGTTGTAAACATGGTGTAGCCTTACTGTTCTGGTTATACAGACGCACCTTGGAGCCTTCAGTGACTTCTGTTGAATGTTATTGGAGGAAGTCTACTCTGTCTAAAGTTGGCAGTACTATAAAAGGGCAAAGAATGAGAGAGTTGTTTAATTTTCGGCAAGTTCCTTCTTTACCAACAAAAGGGACGGCATTTTTGGACAAATTAATTTCTACCGCATTAAAATCAGATAGTCATTCAATTCTTGCTAAGATGTATAAGAGTGAAGTGAATATTTTGGAGAAAGCTTCGTTGTACCATTTATGTCTTTCTTATAAAAAAACGACTGATGCACCAGATGCAGAAGACTTCATATCGTTTTGCCAAAATAATTTAAATAGTGAAATTTGCAAAAGTATAAATACTTTAACAATATTGCAGTCACAATCTAAAGCCTGGTTTGATGTTAGATATGCGAGAATAACAGCTTCAAAACTGCATGAAGTTGCTCACTGCAAAACTGTTGATGGAGCTATAACTGCTGCAGTTCTGGCAGCATCAAAATTTAGAGGAACAAAGGCCATGAAAAGAGGCCTTAACCTTGAAGAAGATGTCTTAAAAGTCATAGGTGAGAAGAAAAATATTAAATTAGAAAGAGTAGGAATGACCATAAATCATATGTACCCAATATTTGGTGCCTCGGCAGATGCAATGTCTGATAAATATTGCGTTGAAATAAAATGTCCAATAAAGACAAATACTGTAAAAAATTACATTACGCCAGAGGGTGAAATAACTCCTAAACCATATGCACAACTGCAGCTGCAAATGTTTCTTAATAAAAAACAATGGGGTTTATTTTGTGTTGCATCTCCATCTTTTGAAACGGACAGAAATGTGACTATAAAGGAAATTCCTTTGGATGAAAATTTTTGTCACAATGTAATGGAGCAGGCACAAGCTTTTTGGAAAAAAGCGATTTTTCCAATTTTAATTAACTGACGTTTTCAATAATTATACTTATTTATTTCATAATTATTTCTTATTCATTTCAATAATAAATAAATCTAAATCCCGTTATACCCCAATCCCCTAGTATCAATAAAAAAAAGTTAAATGCTTCTATTTATACAATTAATTTATTGTTTCCAATAAAATACAAATAAAAACCATGTAAAAACTATTGTATTAATGGACCTTGCAAATTTATCAAACCACAAGCAACAATTACAATATGATCCAAAAGTGGCACCAAATTATGATCTGTGGTAGCATGTGGACCCAACATTCGAAATTCTCTGATCCTACGAATTAATCTTTCAATGTGGATCCTCAACGCTGCGACAAGTTTCGACTGACGTACCTCATCCTTCGTCATTTTTCTGGTGCTTGTCACGCTGGGAGGTCTGACTAGATTCACCTTTTTTTTCTGGAAAAGCCCTGCTACTTGCTTGAAGCCCCTATCGGTCATTACAGTTGCATTTTCAGGTACAACGGTCAAATACCCTGATTGCTTAATTATTTCTACATCTGATGTGCGACCTCCAAACCCTTCTGATATAAAATTAATTAGCCCATTTGGAGTCCTCGACACTAAATACTTGCATGTGTTACAAGTTTTATAATTGCTCCAGGTTAAAGCTTGCTGGTAAGCTGCACTAGGTCTTTCAACCTGTATTTCGAAGCAATCAATGATTGCTTCAACATCTTTATAATACGTCTGAAACTGCCTAGGTAGAACTCGCTGAATTTTACTTTTCTCAGGCCAAAAAATTAACTCGTTGAGTTTTGTAGCCATTTTTGGCAATGTTTTTGAAAATATATTACTGACACCACTAGTGCTTAATGCAAAATCTGTCCCTAATCGTACAAATTGGTCATCTGTTCGTATTTTCTTAAGAACAATATAAATATGTTCTACAGGAACTTCTAATTCTTCCTAGAGTAATTTGATGAAAAAAAATTCTGACTTGGGCAAGCCCAGTTAAAATCTGCTATTATTTTCAATTTTGAATATTTCCACTTTCACCAATAGTTCTTTGGATATCATCATATTAGTTTCATCCCATGAGTCCGATGATGGCTCATAAACACTTCCACTTTGGAGTGAAAGGGAGGATGATGACAATGATGTCGATGATCCCTGAATAGGTTTGTGGGGGCTTTGATATATTTGTGACGATAATGATCGAAGAGTGTTTGTGCTTTTATCTGCCACTTCAACTGAGGTCATTGATGACTGATCTTTTGTGCTAACTCTTGTCTGAGTTGCTTTTCTAAGAGTTCTCCTTTTTGTTCTTAAAGGAGAAACTGCTTTTTCTGGCGATTTTGCACTAACAAACATGCCAGATGGTGAAGCCACTGTTTTTAATTGCAGTTCTTCTACATCCTCTGTTACATCCTGTGAAGTACCAGGTACAGTAGGTTCAGGAAACAGTTTCCTTCGAAGCCCTCTACTGTGCTGTTGTGTTTCCATCTTACGTTTCCTTGAAGTTGGTGTGAATTGGGACGAAGTTTCTTTCCTCACTATGCTTCTTGGAACCACATTGTCTTTTAACATTAGGCGTGTACCCATTAATTTGAAATGAATCCAATTTTCAGCATCCTTTTCCAACTTTATTAAAGAAAATTTATTAATAAGGTGATACAAGTAGATACCGACATACAAATTTTTGAAATATTTACTATACTTACATCAAAATGATCTTCACAACAGTACAAACTTTTCCCAGGTATGTATGTTCTTCCCACAGCTTCAAACCATAACTTCCTCCGATCCACTTTTTGGGGAACAGTAAGAAATAATTTTTCTGGATTATTTGTAGAGTTGTTATCACACCCAACGAAGAAACACTGTTTCGCCATCGTGCCAATTTTTTCTATTTAATTTGTTTATATTTAAGGAATAAAACGAACAGGCCAAGTTGATCAAAAACACGTGCACGCTCTGACCTACCTCAATATAATAAACCAGCAGGTTTGGCAACACAGCATCGCTGCCATCGCTTCAAAGTGATTGGTTACACTTTTAACCGCGAAATACTGCAACTTTGAGCCGGTCTCTCACTTTTCTATTATTTTGACAATTTTTTTCAAAGCGATTATTTTTTATAAATAGTTCAAATTTGTTTTTTGTACATGTATTTAGATATTGTTTCAGAATGTTTAGTTAAAATTTGATTTTAAACTTTAGTGGAAAACCCTATTAACGATTTATTAATCAAACGGCTAAGTAAATGAGAACTGGAATTAACAGCAGAGTGCCACGAAGCAGCGTTATTCTAATCTCAAATAAACGAAGTGCAGTCGGTAATTGCAATGAATTCCCATCCCGTACGAGCCGTACCGAGTTTGGCCTTGTCTAGCCCGACAGAAATCCGCTCTCTATTCATCACCCATATCGACCGAAGTGATTAGTTATTTCTGTATAGCAAGCCTGGTCATAAAAAAGTTAATTGTTGCAATAAAAATAACCAGCAGGTATTCATGTGTAGGTCATTGAAAATTGCTTTAAACGAAAACAACGCAATAGTCAACAACCGTAACACGACATGGAAACAAACAAGGCTCCACGAGGTAATGTATATATCATTTGCAAAAACACAGGGAAAAGTAAATTTTATAAAGTTGCTGGCAAAGAACATCCTGCTTTTGTCGACTCTGATAGCGAATATTGTTTAATGTCATGTAGTGTGGTGGCGGCTTGGAATTTTTACGTAATAGAAATTCCTGCTAACCTGGCAGCCTTTCGTGGTAATAAAATCCTTCTTTTCCATAAGATTTAGCGTCTTGTCAAAATTGATAACGTCGAGCTTCTCGTTGATCTGCTCATAGTCGATTGGAACATACCTGAGTCTGAATTAGTTATTATCCAAAACTTTACTGAGGATTCTAGCATTCGGTACGAACGAGTCGGTAATAATAATCACAATATTTATGCCGTTCCACATATAATTACGATTTTGTCTAACGTTCCACTTCCCATCTCCACTGGCGATATGTCCTATGGAGACGCTGGGTCTCCATAGGACATATCGCCAGTATATTATACTGATATATAATCTTTCCAATATTGTTTTGCGTCATCCTCTCTTGGTACCATACCAAATGTAGAGTTGGACATCCAAGTCACTGCAGATGAAGTCGTTGCACACAGACCCTATAGGCTCTTGAACACTGAAAAGCCTATTTTGCATTCTCTGATAAACGAGTTACTCGCACAAGGTATTACTAGGCCCTCCATATCGCCCAATGCGAGTCCATTACTTCTTGTACCTAAGAAGAATAGTGGTCACCGGTTATGTGTTGATTACCGTAATCCTAACAAGATAATTATTTTGTTAGGATCATAGTTATGCAAGATTCGTACCTCTTACCACTGATTGAAGACCTTGTCGATCGACTTTTGAATTCCACTGTTTCAGTTGTTTAGAACTACAAAATGGCTATCATCAAATTCAAGTAGAAGGCGAAAAATTCATATCTGCCATCACGTCACCATAATAATTTGGGCATTGCCTTCCATTTCCCTTGGAGAAGAAATTTAAACTAGAGCATTGTGTACATTTAAAAGCAAGCTGTGTTTATGTGATCGAAATTTGTAATTTTGAACCAGATTTTATAACTGGAAAATACATCCCAAAAGAAAAGAAAGAACTTAATAAAATTATTCCCGCCATATTTTTGTGTCGTTAAAACAGGGTCACTGTTTGCGGTTCACCATTTTGCATCAGAACGCATTCCGCCATTTCATTTCATTTCGCGGGTTTTTCAAATTTTGTGCGCATGTCTTAATTTTGGCGGAATGTTTGGGTTATTACACTGTGTTACGCTGTGGTGGTACGCGGGGGTGTTATTTATCCCGCTGATTTTTTTTTTATTTTACAGAGGTTATCACTAAACGAAAACTGCAAAATCAAATTTTATATTTTTTTTAAAGAGCTGGATTTTTCGGATTACATGTGCTTATATCCTGCGACCAATTTTTTATTGATCAAATTAAGAATATTATAGACGTGTACAACACAGATGTACAACAAAACGTGTTGTTTACTGTATCGTCCGCGGCCCTACAGTTTTGCGAGGGTTGTGACCTCCGCTAACTACACTGGGAAGTTGTCGACCTTGAAATTTGCTTAAATTTTGAAAAGACATATAGATTTAATTTTTTTATAAAAAATTAAACAGTAAACAATGGTCCTATGAAAACGTGAATAACGCTTTTTAAAATGTCTCTGTGACAATTACACTTAACTGCAATAATTACACCGGAAGATCAGCCTTAAATCATCAAAACTAATGCAACTAAACTGCCAAATTTCAAATATTTCACATTAAAGTCACTAGATAACCAAAGTACAGCAGTTCAATGTCTAATATAGTGTAAGAAAGAAAAGTACCTTGCGTTGCGCGCCCTCATACGGTCACAAGACAAACGACCACCCATGAAAACGGGTCAGTAAAAATAGCGAGTTGTCCCTACTGATAGATGTCTATACTGTGGTCTGTATCCCTAATGTAGGCAACCAATATTTCAGATCGTTTCAAAAATTCCGCTTGATAAAAAAGGTTGTGTAAGGACACCATTGTTCCAATAGTTCGAATATTTGGCGATCTGTCCCTACTGTAACCCTGTGCTGTAACCTATACTCTGATTATACTGTGTTGTATTTATTGTGACCTCTCTCGCCTCACTCCTCTCATCAATGAGTTCGTCGGGGAGGATATTCTATGGTCTATGGGTCACACAGTCACACTTTGGCTGTGCTGTATGTAAAGATGTAAAGACGTCAAGCTCAGCGCAATCAACAACTCGTTTGTGTATGGCCAAATTGTACCTAATCTTTTCAATATTTCGTCCTTCACAGTTTATATGAAATGTAACCGCCGAACACAATTAATAATGTTTTCTAGATGTAATAAGATTAAAGAAAACAATTTTCTCAGTATACTTACGACGAATCTGTTAGCTATTTGCATAAACCATCTATAGTGCTGCAGTGGTGGTTTCTGGCTATTTGTTACATATTTGTTAGCTGACTAAACTACTCACAATTGTTACATTGTTTATAATTTACATCATTTTTAATATGTTTGATTATGCAACTTGATATACGTTCTTGGAAACAAGTTTAACGTTGAAACTTATAAAAATGTTTAAGTATCATCTTAACTTTAACAAATGCCACAAATCAAATCTACGGTTAAGAAAAAATTCTGTGCAACCGATACGTAGTGTGTTAAAAAATTAAGAAGCTGAAAATGTTGAAATATTTGGTAATATAGAGGGCGCAAGTGTGCCAATTGTTACATATCGCGTTATTACAGCTCGCAAGCGTGTACAGCAGATACCTACTGAGTTTTCCCAATAAATCTCGTCTTTAAACAACAAAATATAAAATTTTGGGTAAGTTCACATAACATTTAGTTTTACCTGCACATTTTATTGCTATAAGTGTAATTAAAGATTTATATAAACACTTCGTAAAATATATGAATTACAAAAAATAATTCCGATTGTTGCGTGATCTGTCATTTTAACAATGCTAATTTGATTTACCCGAAAGTCGGTATTTTAAGTTTATATCTATTTATTAATAGATCCTATTATTCCTATTATTATAGGAAATAAGAGAAAATTTAATTTTATCTAATGTGAATGTTGATGGCGATTTTATTGATTATATTTTTTGATGTAGGTTATAGGAATTGGTTGGCAGTCCTGTTCAAAAAAATACAGGTGCAGCAACAATGGTATCGCAATCCAATACTTCCAATGAATTGTACAATCTTCGGTGGAATAGTTATTTTTCAAATTTGATCAATATTTTTACGGAACACCAAACTCAAGAAACTTTAGTTGATGTAACTCTTGGCTGTGAAGGTCAGTTTATTAAAGCACATAAACTTGTTTTATCAGCTTGTAGTATATATTTCCAGGTAAGTTTTGTATATAATTTTAAATTTTCTTATTTTAACCCATACAAAAATATGTAGAAAATTTTCCAAACCCATACAACGCCACAACTTTTAATTCTGTTAAATGATGTCAAATTTGAGAACCTACGACTAGTTATACAATTCATGTACAAAGGTGAAGTAAAAGTAGCGGATGCGGAAATGCAACAATTTCTACAACTAGGCAAAATGCTGCAAGTTAAAGGCTTATGTTCTGTGGAACTCCATGAAAAACAAAAACAAATCAATAATGATGCAAAAAAAGAAACTGCTGTACCACCTGAGAAAAGTACAAATGAAAAATTAAGACTTCCTGATGATAAGACTAATATGCCTATTAAGATTGTTGAGCATGAACACATAGATTCTAAGCAAACTCCTTTATTAAAAAAGCGTAAATTACCGTCACCAGCACCTCCAGATCCTAAGGTAATTTGAAACTAAATCCCCATAAATTTCATTTGTTGATTTATAGAAAAAAAATTTAACTTCAACCCCTGACGCGTCCAGTGATACAAAGATGATTGAAAAATTTTCACCAAGCAGCCCTGTAGATGACAGAGATACAAAGAATGAGAAAAATATGTTGTCTTCAAGTTCTGTTAGTGGTAAAGATGTTTCACGTGTTCCGCGCCCACCAAATGCTTTCATGATTTTTGCAAACCAGTGGCGAAAAAAACTGGCTGTAGAATATCCAAGTTTGTGAAATTTAATGTGTTTCTTCATTTATTACTACTTTTATTTTGCAGATGAAAGTAACAAAGATATTTCAGTTCGACTAGGAAATATGTGGAAATCGTTATCTCCAGAAACAAAAGACGCTTTTTATGAAGATGCAAGAAAAGCTGATGAGGAACACAAAGAGAAATATCCTGGGTAAAACTTAAAAATTATCAGAATAAGATAAGACTGAATTTGAAGAAATTTCTGTATTACAGGTATTACTATAGTCCTAAAGAAGCCAGACATCGAAAAGCTATAGCAAGTATTACTAGAGCAGTACACAAACTAGACCAGTTGTGCAGAAATGACTTGAATGATATTACTGAGCCTGAATTTGTAAGTGCTTTTCAATCAAAATTATAAACATGCAATTTTGAAGTTTGTAGATTGAAATAAAATGTGAAAATGATTTAGATAGTGGACGTTCTACTCCTAAGAGTAGCAACTCACATTAGAAACAAATGTGATATTCTAATAGGATTCATAGAAATCAGTTGCCTCACGTATTGAGGTTGACGAGACAGGATATTTCATATCAGGAAAGAGTGACAGCTTCTAATTTGGTAATTTAAAAAAATGTACTTTGAAAGTACTTTTTGTCATTTTAATAACTCGATGGTGTAAAAACAAAAAACTAGAATGTGAAGACAACTATAAAATTTGTAAAAAATAAATAAGCGTGGTTGTGTTATATGTGTTCAATTGCTGAATAAAAGCTCCTGATTTCAGTCACTGTTATTAATTTTTTTAATATTTGGCGGTTGGCCAGTTTAATTTGCTTTGGGTCGACGCCAGTTTTCGATATGTTGATTCAGTCTAAATCTTGCAGGTAAGGTCACATTATGCAATATCATAACAGGAGTTACATTAGGGTAACGGCGAATAACATAATATTACAACAACAAATTGCCTAACATATATACTAATTATTGTAAAAAAAAGTGCTTCCTGAATAGTTGTCGCCTTTATATTGAAAGACGTCAAAAATGTTATTCACGTCATAAAGCTTTGCCATCCATAACCCACCATTTCTGTTAAAAAGAATAAACAAATCTGCTTTTTGCTTCCATTTCCATCCCTGGTGGAATTTTGCTATCAGTGAATTACGTGAATAAATTCGGTCTAACTATAGATAAATAGAAAGTAACGTGTTCAAGTTATTGTGAAAATTGTTTGATTTTGCCAATACCTTTTTCTCAAAACACATTGTTTCTAGTCAGATAGTTGGAATAATTTGAACAGATTGGTTTTTCTAGCTACGTATATTTTCAGGAACCAGTTAAAAGTAGCCATTTACCAATAATCATGTGCACCATAAGTGGACTCATTATCAATTGCTGAACATTTTTTCAACTAATGATTTCCTTGTTAGACCAGTAATCACGTTTACTCACCTTGTTTGTGTATTCCAAAGGTTAAGAAAAACAAACGAATCTATTGTTCCAAAAAATGAACAAACAAAATATTTGCTCAGACGTATCCTACCTACAGTGATACGATCGTGTGGATCGTGTGCTTTACAGGTGACAGTCACATTTGTAATTGAAACTTAATTACAATGGAATTTCAAGACTACAAGACTTGGAACGTGCCCGTTGGCATGGAGATATTTTTACACGAATTGTTCATAACAGAAATATCACAAGTTTTTGTGACTTTTAGCTTTTGATAGAGTTGCTGTGGATACGTTCATTATTAAATATAACAGTTGATGTATGTATAATACGACACTACAAAAGGTCGAAATTAATAAAGCAAACTTTAATTCAGAGTTGAACTTGTACATATCAGCAGGTTATATTTCAGATGACTTCTTTTAACTACAAGTATGTGCTTCGCATAAGTAAGTATTAATAGGCTGCCCTGACTAACCAATATGACACAATAAAATAACAATTTTAAATAAATTATTATTTTATTTATTTTTCATAATCTTAACAAGTAAAGCTTTTATTGTGGTTTACATGTAGATTGCCAAGTCTTTGTCAAAGTTAAGCGGAATATTTTATTTGACGTAATAATATGAAATGCCGAATTACAGCAGCCGCGCGTTTTTCCGGTACATTTTAAATTCAAGTAGGTAATAATTCTATCTAATATTTTCCTTCGACCGGCCAAAAACCGGAGGTGAGATCCTAAAACCGGAGATTTGGCAACCCTCTTTATGAGCCTTGAAAGTGTTGCACTCGTGGTTATTTCAACTTACAGCGAAGTTTTGTCGAAACAACATTCGTTCATTTTTTTATTTCCTGGGCGTAAGCTAAGCAAATACAGTAATAGGATCCATCCGAGGAATCGCTGCTTTGAGGTTTTCGCGACGTTTCATGTCCCCTAGAGTACGAAAACAGTTTCCGTCTGTCTGGCGTCTGTGTCGATGATTTTTATTAGATACGTAATCTCGAAACTACTGCACCGATTGTTGTCAAATTTTATATGTATATTAGGAATATCATGTAGATTAACCAGAATTTGGCTAATCATGTCCGGCACCAATGGCATGACGACGTCTCCAAAATTTACAACACGCGACGAAACTTCGGGGGCGGACGGTGACTGTCCGGAATTTCGCCGATATCGCGTGGAGGTGGCGTAGCTTATGCCAAGACCTGGGCCGACTAGTGCACCCGCATAGCCAACCTACACTATGAGGTCACCTTCGCCGGGGGTGGTGCTTTAGCTCGGGTATCAGCTCCCTCTCTGGCGAGAGAGCACCGGGGTGGCTTTAAAGCCGGAGACATGGATCTCCATGTGGACCCGTGAGCGCCCGCGAAAACAAAAAATAACGCTTCGGAATGTTTACAATAATCGGGTTTTTATTCCCTGCCACCAGCTAAAATAATTTTACGGCTAATCTTAAAAATAAATTACAAATTTGTTAACAAAAAGGACAAATATCAAGTACGGTCGTTTTCTCCTAGGTGGCGGCTTCCTTCGGGACGGGCTCCTCCTGGTCCTGGGACGGCTACCCTGGAACGAACAATCGTGCGGGGACGGTGTAGCAACACAGGAGGGGAGCACGGCGGCGGAAAACAATGCGTGCTCAACGGTTTCGGTTTCTTGCTTTCACAAAAAAAAAAAAAAAAGAAAACGTAGACGTCGGTACAAGTTTTCGCTCGGAGGCAGTGATTCAAAAACGGGTAAAGCCCCGAAATGGTACTTACAGCAGTACGACGGTGATCAGCGAATCGGACTGCACAATCTGATCGATCACAGCTCCGAAAAAGAACTTTTCCTCTTCCATTTAAGCGAAAGACTCGAAAAAGAATAGGCCATATCCCCGGTCGCGGATTCGCCCCCGTCTTTCGGTACAGGCCTGGGTTTCCCACCCGCTAAAATTTTCTTTGTTACAAACAGTTTTTTTTTACTTAATAAAATAAGGTATTCCTGAACTTGCGGTGTTGAGTTTTCACCCAAGTGATTCAGGTTTTTGGAAAAAAAAAATCAAAACATTTTATAATTTAACTTTGAAACGGCAAAACCGAATGCTTTGAAATCTCGCACACTGTCGTGTTTTAGGTTATCATAATCATGCAAAACCGATTGCTCTGAAATCTTGTAAATATTTTAAGGTTATCGTAATCATGGTAAATCGTTAAGTAAAATTTATTCGTTTATCCCCTCCCCAAAAATTAATGACGGTCATCTCAAAATTTTGCCAAATATATCCTGTTCAAAATGTGCACAGTATGACGAGTCTTATCACTGCATTAAAAGTTTTTACATTTTTTATACAGGATGACTGATACAAATTAATGAACGGATCACTTTGGGAATACAGTACTGTTATCATCAATATGGTCCCTTGGACCACATGAGTAGTAATGAAAGCATTAAGATTGCACTTACCTTGTAGCGGATTGATTTATAAATTATAATGGATAAGGAAATAAAGACGAGTTACTAGCTTCGTGCATTTTTATTACTTATTAATAACGTTTTTGTACATAAAAAAATCATCAGTCGGCTTTTTAAAATAGCAACTTTTTCACATTTGACAAAAAAGTAGCTTGAAATTACAACAAACTACATGAACACTATCAGCTAAATAAGATCAAATAACCAATATTTGAATAATTCATGACTAGTATGTCTTATAGTGAAATATTTTTATGGAGTCATCCATCACAAAACGCCTGAAATTTATTTACAATAAAAATAATCTTTGGGGTACTCACTTACAAAAAAGAGCTGGCAAAAGAGTATTCAAAAAATTAAATAAAATTCTATCAACATACACTAGGTGACTACTAAATTGATATTTTACATCTCTGAATATAACTGGACAAACAAAAATCGTTAAAATTTCTAAGTTCATTGTACAGGAAATAATTCGCTCCGACAGTAATTAATTAATATTAATTACGATCTGAAACACCAAACAATTTCAACAACTACTGGTTAACCTTGATAATTCAATTAAACTTTGACTGGCTCGAACTTTTTTTTGATTCTAAATTGTTTTGATTTCACTCAACGCTACAACAGAAAAGACTTAACTTTAATGGCAAGCTAAAGTGGAAGTTAGTGAAGTTAATGAGTACAATAAATCCATCACGGAATACAACGAAAATATGATTTTACAATTCTCTGGAAAAATGGTACAGTTCGTAACTTCAAACTGTGTAAGCGTTTTATGTACTAGCGCGGTTCATAGGAACACAAAAAAAGCTCAATTGAAGTTGCAGTCCTCGTTTAAATGTAATACTTTAAAAACATTGAAGCTAATATTTTGGTCCTCCTGTACCCTTAGGGTAACTACTTTGTACCATGGTACCCGAATTCGTGGAGGATATTTTCGGAGCTCAAATGTCGACAAGGCAGCATTATAAAGCTGACTGGGAGTCTAGGCGGCTACTGAGACAAAAATTGAACGGAAATAACCTATTGTTTTTTTTTTCATCGTCAGCAAGACTTTAAGCAGATTGAAGAGACAACAAAGACGTAAATTTACCTTTAGACAGCAAATCGATGAGATGAACCGGTCTAAGATGACATCGTTTTAGGGTTGTTTTGGTTGTTTTCTGGGTGTACTCTAATGGTACTCGCACCCTTTATTACACAAAAGAAATCAGGAATTCACTTGTATTAATCTGACGACTTCAAATGATTATTTCTGTAATCACCATATACTTATTTTTACAAGTCTAAATACATGTGGGAAAGCCAAAAATGCTAGTGCTATTCATAACTAAATATACAAATATGTAACATCAAAACAATTTTATCAAACAATTATTAATTCTTTAAGATTTACGTCGTTGTGCAACTTCTAGCGGTAAATTGGAAGGAAAATAATATTAGGCGTACGGGAATTTAGTAAAATGTGTTTTTTGTTTATGTAATAGTTATTGGTCTTTTGATTATCTTGAGCTAACAATTTTTTTTATCCCATACTAATTTATCTTCTTTTTGTAACAAACCCCTTTTAACCATTACGAAAATTATATCTGTTTTACACATTTATAAAACAAATTTATTATTTTAAAAGGTAACCAATCTTTGTAAAAGCATTTATATAAATGCATAAGTAGTCTTTCAATTTATTTACACTTTAATTTACTTATCTTTGAATTTTTTTCGGATATTTGCATTTCTTCTCAATACTTAAAATAACAAAAATGTAAATGTGAGTCTTAAAGAAAAAAAGTAAATTCAATTTCTCTACTGCGTCCAAATGGTATAGTTAAATTAATACTCCTATAATTTTAGGATATTCTGAAATTTGCATTAAAAATAATGCAAAAAATTAATTGAACCGAAGCCAAAATCTGAAAAAATTAATTAGTAAGTAATTTTAAAAGTGCATAAAACCAAGCGTCTAATATTTTAACAATTATTTTTTGTCACCCTTGAAGTAATTATTTAAATTCAAAAGAGTACATACATTTAAACTACTAAAGATACGAGCAATAAATGCATTATTCAAAACTATAAAAACGTATACCGCAGCTCATTAATGACGTATAACAAGCATTCACAAATACAGCTAGGAATTAAGTTTTTGCAGTAATCCTTTGTTTTATTCACCTTAAAGTAATTCTTGTGTTCAATTTTTGCAACTTTTTAGGATTATGGTTACAATCTATATCAATAGTGAAAAAAGTATACAAGAAATGCATAAAAAATTCTTTAATTATGGTCACCTTTATATCGTGTTCTTGTTACGCTAAGTTTCACTGTGATCACATCATGTATTTAGTCCGTAAAAAAAATCCTAAATAAATATGGTGACGACAGGAATAATTCACGATAAGCTGAAGTATAGCAAAATCTGCAGAGTAACATTAGGTTTGCTACGGATCTGAAACTTGTAGTTTCACGATTGTCTGGTCTGTTTGACTTTAACTTTACAAATTGAAACTGTGGCTCTCAAGGATCATTTCACCGAATTTCGCAACACAAATACTGGAAGCAGCTATTTCAAAATTGAGCAAATGTAAATGGAAAATGACATAATGACAATGCGGTATAATAAATATATGAAAGTGAGAACTCAAATCTGAAATAGCCACTATAAAAACACCCGATTACTAAATACAAATTTATATATTTGTAAATAACAATATAAAGAAAACTCTAGTAAACTGAGTGAAAAACGAAAATGAGAAAAATCCCGTTTACACTTAATGAGTAGGCGTCGGCCTCCTCTTAGGTCTTGTGCGTCCGAAGTTTCTCATTTCCGACATTCCTCTTCGGGTACGATCATTTAAACTGTAACTTGCGGTCTTGCGTTCTTATTAACGACATAAAACTTATGCTTCCTGCCAAAAATCCCCCAAATAACGGCGATATTTTCGATAACTAAATTGAAAGGTATCACGAGCACGGCTCCGCACAGACAAAGCAAAAATCGTCCCAGTCCGAACCTGTAAACCGTGAACGACTTGATTACACCGAACACAAACATGTAAATATTCACAGCACCGATGAACGCACAAATGAAGTCAATGATGGGCGGGCATGGTATGGGGAACTTGGACGCCAACACTAAATTAGAAACCGAAAGTGGTAACGTGATCCACGAGTAACACGAACATGCTAAGAAAAGTTTATGCTTGAGCGGGATGGCTTTGGAGTGGACAACTAAGAGGATTCCCTGGACCCAGCGTTTCCGTTGCTGAATGAAGTCCCAGAAGGTGAAAGGAGATTTCTCCCACATCTCGCCTTCAATGAAGTTAAAGCTGTAACCTTGGCTATAGGCCTTCATGGCAAAGAAGCAGTCTTCGGCGATGGATCCGTCAAGGCCGTTGTCGAAGGAGACTTCACGTTCGGCGTTGAACTGAAACAAAAACAAAGTTCATTATCCAAGAACTTTGACGACTGTCGATGATTTAAGCAGTTACCTGTCTTCTACTTAAACAAATTACAAAAATTACAAATTATTTCTACAATGACAACATAATGGAAAAAGTAAAACAATGTGAATAACATAAATGCCGATATTTGTAATTAGTGCCTGCTTCTCAAATTAGTAAAAAATAAAAAAATTGGCCGAAGATTATTTCGACAGAGTTTTCCTCGCCCTTGATGTATAGTCCGATAAATCTCACTTCTCTGAAACATTATAAAATTTGATTTTGAGATTTTCATTTTGTGATTACTTCTATAAAGTAAAAAACAGTGTCGTAAGTAACACCCCGCAGCTCCCGCAACGCGTGGGCGCGATCCACGTAAGTGTGGACAATATGAAATATGTTTAAAACAGATAACCAACGGGAAAAATGAAGATATTCTCAATTTCTCAGTACATGCTGTAACGAAGCGAATTTTCGTAGGCCGGAAACCGTGACGCGTACCGCGAGAGCCGGGGGTAAAGCCGCGATCGCCGCGCCGCCGCGGGGGAAGGATTCTTGTCTGAAGCTTCAGGGTGTACGGAAGTGTTGTGGCTGTGGGGAAAAAGAAGTTTAAGTTGTGGAAAGTGCAGTTTGACCCTCCGACCACCGTAAGTATTTTTTGGGTCGTCTGCCCGTTTAAGTATCGGTTTTCGAATCGCCGCCCCCAAGCAAAAACCGAATCAGTCACCGGTTTTTTTTTTGTCACTGTCAGAAGTCGAAACCGTCGTGCACGTGTCGTTACCATCACCGCGCTCCCCTCCCGGGTCGCCGTGCCGTCTTCGCGCGATTTCCAGGTCTCAAGGTCGCCGCCCCCAAGTCCAGGAGGAGCCCGTCCTGAAGGAAGTCGCCGCCCAGGAGGAACGACCGTGCCGGACGTTTAATTCTTTTTGTTTAAATTTGTTGTAGTTATTAAGACTTTGCCGTAAGATTATTATTTTAGCCGTGTAGCTGGTGGCAGGGAATAAACCCGATTTATTGTTTAAATCCTTGCCGTTTTATTTTTATTCTCGTGTTTTCGCGGGCGCTCACTACCTGATATCCGTGTCTCCGGCTTTAGAGCCACCCCGGTGGTCCCTCTCCCGGAGAGAGAGCTGGCGCCCGAGCGAGCGCCGCTCCTGACCGAAGGCGCCACCCCCGGCGGCGTGAAGGTCGCCGCATAAGCTTGGTCGGCCAGACGTGTTTGTTATATCAGCGACACTAGTCGGCCCAAACCTTAGCACCCAGGTACGCCGCCACCACACGTTATCGGCGAGATTCCGGACCGTCACCGTCCGTCACACCGGAATTTCGTCGCAATGCTTAACTTTGACTGTTTATGTTTATTGGTACTTCGAAAAAATTTGACTATTAGCACGTTCAGATTACACGCATCAATGGTTAAAAGAAAATTAAATTTGACTGATTTTGTCTCCTCATAGCAGAACGAACTGATTCATTAATTAACCACACTCAGTTTTTTTTCTCTAAAACACTCATAAACTTGGACCTTTTTTTCGGCAATTTTGCAAAATTTGTCATCATTTATGTGTGTGTGACTTTTTTTCCTAAAAATCTGGATGCTAGAGTATAAACTCGACACACATTCATAAACCACAAATGCAGAAGTATTTTATTTTATAAAATCATCATCGAGAAAATATGAAAGTAACTTGTCGTTTGATGGACTCGATTACAATACTTCCTTAGTCTGCGCTCAGGAGGTAAAAATCTTTTCCATAAAAATAAGCATTAAAATTAAAAACAAATTTACTCATAAGGCATCCGTAACATTCCGTACGCAAGCTGATTAAAATGTTGGATCCGACCCTGTTCATCGCATTGCGAACACGATAAAAAAGTCCACTGGAACTGGTTTTTTGGTGCAGCCCATGATATGTTGCTAACGAAAACTTGTTGGAGATCAGTGGGATTTTACGTTCTGTTGGAGACAGTAGGCGAGCGGTTCTAAAAATTTTGTGTATCATGCGCAATGCGTAATCCGGAAAAATACTGTTACGGCGTTCGGTGAATAATAATCGGCGTGGGTAAAACTCAACAATTTATTTCTTACTAACTCGAATGAACTAACTATTACAGCAATTATGTACAGAGTAACTCCGTGGTTCACTCGACTGGACTGGCTGAATTGGCTGAATAACTTCGTTCCCGAAGGTGGCTTCCATTTAAACCGATATTCTTCTTCTTGCTATTTCGCAATCGAGGTCGTTATCGAATCTATCGCGACTTCCGCTTCCAGTGACGGCGGCCGGAGAAGAGCTTGGAAGCGGATGTCGCGACGGGTGTTCGAGGATAAGCCTAGAAGCGGTGGCGGAATGGGAACCACCGTCGGGAGCAGTTAGTGTAGTCCAAACAACGATAGCTGAATTCAGTCAATCGAGTCCACGAGAGTACAGTCAAATTGCGCCGGAATTATTTTCTACATAATCCCTGTGTAATAATCAGTCGTGTAATTCGAGTCATTAAGAAATAAATTGCTGAGTTTTACCTACGTCGATTTTATTCACCGATCATCGTAACAATATCTTTGGCCAAATTATAATAAATTGATTTTAACGTGTTTTCAAATCACAATTTTTATTTATAAAATCCAAAATGTAGCATCGATTGCAGTTGATCTGTTAATTCAGTAAGCATATTATTAACACAATTTAAAGCTCAAATACTTGGCAAACCGTATAATTTTTGTTAGTCATGGTTTTATCTCTGATACTTGCGTCAAACTTGAAACATTAATCCTTATCTCGGCTGTACCTATCGTAGGTAACAATGTTAAGTACATTATAATGACGTCACAACTTAAAGACTTAAGATATTTTATAACAGTATAATAGTATTGTGTCACTGCCCAAATTAAGGAAAATTTCCAACTGCACAATCGCAATAATTCCCCTTGTGTCCTAATACTACTTCTACCTACCTACCCCCTCCCCCCCCCATATTAAATGATTATGTCGATTTTGTGATAATACCTACACCTTAATAATAAATAAATAATAGCAAAACGCAAATATATTATAAAGATATAAACAAAAATCTAAAACAGGCATTATACCGACACTATTAATACATACATATATCACTATTTAAAGGTACATCACAAAAGTTTGTGTGTTGTCTTCCCAAAACAGAAGACTAAAATAATTAATTAAGCCACAATCGAACAAAATGTTCTGAAATTTATTATTATAATTCTTATTTTGTCATTATTACTTTACATTTTTCATAATTACTTGCGTATTCTCATATTTTTGAGAAAATGTTGTGACACGTTCTTAATTGGATCAATAAAAAATTTGTGATGACGCCAATAACGTAAATAATACTTGTCATAGCACAAAAGAAAATTAGTCACAGCGCATTACCAATGCAAGAAAAAACCAAAGTGATAACAGCTGTGAAGGCAGTACGACTCCGCAATTACGACTGATAAATTTTTGTTGTGCACTTTTTCGAAATCACTGAGATAAATGTTATTGTTAAGCAGGTACGTGACAGAGCGAAAATAGCACATCTGGCGTTTCTTGAGGTCCCAACTTGACAAACAAAATCATAAAAATTCCTCGATTCTTTTCGGTGAAGGGATGAACCAGCGTCAGTAGTGGTAGCTTACGCTCGGAAAGTAAAAATATTAATAATGTGAAAAAATTGCTGCACAAATTGCAATTTCCAGCTGCACAAATGCATTTTTGAACTGCACAAAATGTGTAGAAGTGCACATTAATTTAGGCCCTGTATTGTGTGCACAGTTTTATTTCTAATGTTTACATATATTTTAGATCTTCTGAAAGTAGATTTTATAATTAAGTTAGTTTGCAAAAAAACGCTTTATTCTTTGGAATAATTTTATTTGCTACCATGTTGTTATTATGTTTTGATACATGCAAATTTTTGGACACATAAAAATGAAAGAAATAAAGTGACGAATGTTCGAATAACTGAAAAGCATAGAAAGCTTTTACGTTTTAACTACTGCAATATTAAATACATTATAACTATTATGAGTAGAGCCAGGCGGTCCAAATTTAAACGCTGCGAATTGACCCCTATTCCGGCAGGCCAGTGGCTTGCTTGCAGCCGACGTTACGTATTTGCGGAGAAAATTACGCGAAAAATAATGTTAATGGCATGTCAGATGATGATTTTAAAATTCATATTCACGAAATATGGGTAATAATAATTCTAATGTTCAGGTGTCCGTCTCGTTGACAATAAAACTATTTGTGTGAATTATCAAAAATAATCCACAACTGGAAAGCGAGAAGCGAGCGAGGCAAGCGGCTGTAGCGATCGGCACTGCGGGCCGATAGTGGGGGTAAATAAATTTCGACCGCCTAGATCTAATTATGAGTAAAATGACTGGAAGGATTTTTTTGTTATGGTCAAATACAAGTGCCATGCATTATGTCAGTTGATTTTAAAGTTTCCAGTGGAGAATAAGCAAGGAACAGACGAAAAAGGAAAAGTTACATTTTCTTTCTCAACGCGATGATTCAGGTAAACTGATATTAAGAGGTTTTCTGTAGTGGGCTTTATATTTTACAATCCCCAATACGTTAACAAATGATCTACAAAATCACCCAACGTATGTTTGTGTGAAGTAGAGCTCTTCACGAAAATATTTGTTTTTGTCTGCATCCTTGAGGAAGCTTTGTCAACCTTTTTACACACTTTTGATCAATTTATGGCGGCAGATTACCAGAGTAGAAGTGCTGAAAATTTCCGGGTGTTAGTAGGTCAATTAATCAGAAACTTGACACTTGATAAATTATTGTAACAAGAATTCTAGTAGAGCAATGTATCTTCATCATTTTTACTTCTCGATCGTAAGCGACTCTCTAAATTTACGTTTGGTCGACCTTTCATGACCCCTCGTTTTTCCCTACGTTTCCTTTTACCAAAATGTCAAAGTTAACTTGATGATATTTTTTTTAATGAACACTCGTTA